TCCTTATCTGAACACCAACAGGGAACTGAGAGCTCTCCAAAAACTTCACAGTCACTCACATCTCACCCATCGCAGCTCTTTGTCATTCCCTACATCTGTCTTGCTTCTATCATCATCTGCCTACCCCTCGGTACGTTGCTGGTGAGATAGGGGCAGAGCTGTCCATCAGTCCAACAAAAGTGAAGCAGCCCCTCAGGTTTCATTTCTGAGAAAATTCTAATTTCAACAAAACACCAAGAAGAAACAGTTGATTCCCCTCGGGGAGGGAAGGGGAGAAAGAGCCACAATTCTTTTCACACCAGAGCACATCTGCTCTCACATAGAACCTTTCACATGTGCATATCAGAGCACCTTCACAAACCAGAAGGTTAACAGGGAAAAAAGAATGGAAGCTGAGGACTTTTCAACCAACTTTGAAAGCATGCTCCTAGCTGAGAAAAAAAAAAAGAAAGAAAAAAGTGGGATGTTATTCTGTAAGATCCATTCCTAAAGCACCCAGCTGGATGGGACTCTGTCATAAAGCCAACATCTCCCTCCAAGTTAATTCCTACCCACCTTCAAGCTGGAGCTGGCTGACTTAGCAAGCACTACGCGTCCCTTAAAATAGCGATGGTTAGAGAAAGCTGTGGAAAGAATAAGCAAGGAGCAGCATCACGAGCAGATGCTCTTCCTCAGTCTGCTGCCATTCTCCGGAGGAGAGGACAGTTGTTCAGGCTCTGGACACTGCCCAGTCACCTGAAGGCCTGACATAGACTGCCGCAGGTCTCGCTCCGTACCTCCCAGTGGAACGGGGAAGAGACTTGCAAGGGCAAAAGTGAGAAAACTCATGGGTTGAGATAGCTCAGTAAGAGAAAAAAGATAAAACAAGTGATGTACAAAGCAATCGCTCACCACCAGCCAACCATGCCAGTCCCTGAGCAATGGTAACCCCTGGCAAACAACTCCCTGGGTTTATTTGCTGGGCACAGCCTCGTATGGCACGGGATATCCTTTTGGTCGATCCCAGCCAGCTGTTCCAGCTGCGTTCCCTGCTAGGCTTTTGTCCACTCTCAACATAGTGGCTGGGGAGGGTCGCTGTGCCAAACAGAAAGCCCTCACGCTGTGCCAGCACCGTTCAGTGACAGCTAAAACACCTCTCTGCTGACAAGGTGGTTCCAGTCACAAATCCGAGACACAGTGCCGTACGGGATGCTACGAAGAAAATCAACTCTATCACAGCCAAAGGCAGTTCAAGCAGGTTGCATCAGCTCCGACCCCCAAACAGCTCTTCTCCGAGTAAATTCCTGGGCAAAGCAATTGTTTGAGCCACAAGTATCTCAAATGGTACTGATCATCTTCCTGCATTGGGAAGTCCCACTCAAGCATGCGTGGCAAGGGTTTGGTAGTGGGTGGGCTGCAGAGGTGGCTTCAGTGAGAAGCTGCCAGAAGCTTCCCATGTGTCCGACAGAGCCAATGCCAGCTGGCTCCAAGACGGACCGACTGCCGGCCAAGGCTGAGCCCATCAGCGATGGTGGTAGTGCCTCTGGGATATCCTATTTAAGACAGGGGGGAAAGAATTCCACAACAGCAACTGTAGCCGGAGAGGGGAGTGAGAATATGTGACAGCAACAACACCAAGGTCAGTGAAGGAGGGGGAGGAGGTGCTCCAGGTGCCAGAGCAGAGATTCCCATGCAGACCGTGGTGTAGTCCATGGTGAGGCAGGTTGTCTCACTGCAGCCCATGAAGGTTAACAGTGGAGCAGAGATCCACCTGCAGCCCTGGAGGACCCCACACTGGAGCAGGTGGATGCGCCTGAAGGAGGCTGTGACCTCATGGGAAGTTCACACTAGAGCAAGCTCCTAGCAGGACCTGTGGCCTCGTGGAGAGAGGAGCCCACGCTGGAGCAGGTTTGCTGGCAGGACTTGTGACCCTGTGTTGAGAGGAGCCACACAGGAGCAATCTGTTCCTGAAGGACAGCATGCTGCAGGAGACACTCACAGTGGAGCAGTTTGTGAAGAACTGTAGCCTGTGGGAAGGACTCACATTCAAGACACTTGTGGAGAACTGTCTCCCGTGGGAGGGACCCCACACTGGAGCCGGGGAGGAGTGTGAGAAGTCCTCACCCTGAGGAGGAAGGAGCTGCAGAGACAACATGTGACAAACTGACCACAACCGCCATTCCCTGTCCCTCACCGCTGTGGAGGAGGAGAGGTAGAGAGATCAGAAGCAAGTTAAGCCTGGGAAGAAGGGAGGGGTGGGGAAGTGTGTTTTAAGATTTGGTTTTCTTTCTCACTATCCTACGCTGACTTGATTGGCAATAAATTAAACTAATTTCCCCACGTCGAGCCTGTTTTGCCTGTGATGGTAACCGCCGAGTGATCTCTCCCTGTCCCTACCTTGACCCGTGAGCCTTTTGTTATATTTTCCTCCTGCCCAATTGAGGAGGAGGAGTGACAGAGGGCCTTGGTGGGCATGTGGCATCCAGCCACGGGCAACTCACCGCAGAGCAGAGACCAGTGTCTTGCATTAACGGATCCCCCTCCAGCAGGAACTTCGATGATCTTCCCACAATCAAATCTGTGTGTTATTATGTCATCACTAAAGGGGTAAAAAGTCATTAACTAAGGAGGTACCTTTGTATGATTTTTCAGCCATTCTGAGCTCAGCAAGGAACATAAATCAACTTCAGTTGTAGGCACACAGCTCCTGCAAAGCGTTTTGTGCAATAACTTAAATTTTTAACTCATGTTTTAGTTTTCTTTTTCTTACATACTCTAACAATTTCTCTGAAGTTTGTCTTACACTTATAAGATCCTTTTTTTTTTTTGCCTCTGAGAAATGTGTGAGTTCTGATGTTCCAAATGGCAATGGATTTGCACACACCTATCCTTTTTTTTTAACACAAAAAAATAAAATGACGATCAAAGCAATTTAAGTGTACAGCTTCCTACAGGTTAAATTTATCCAGCTGGACCAATTAAGAAAAGCTAAATCCCAATTAGTAACAGTTAAAAACCAGGTTTGTCACTTCTGGAATAATTAGAGAAGAATAGAAATTTCTAGATGAGAAAGCTCTTCCTCTACACGTAATGAGACACACTAGAAGAAATTGTGACCTTTTAAACAGCTAGAAATGAAAAGATGGCATTAATACTTCCACAGAAGCTACCAAAACAAACAAACAAACAAAATCACAAACAGCTACTTCAACGCACCACTTCAGAGAATATATCCATGCTGAATACTTATGCTGAAAACAACTTCTTGTGCCAGATTCAAGACCTTCTGAGATTATTAATATTCTGCCATCAACTTCAAAGGGAACAAGATTTGCCTTGCAAAATAATCAAGGGAACTGCAACTATTTACAGGCAACTTAAATTATAGCAGCTTTGCTTGCAACAGCTACAGAATTTAGAAAGACAATTAACTGTATGAGTAAAGTGTTCTGGTAAGCACCCAATTCAAACACTTTAAATATACAGATAATTAACTCCCCAAATTTTAAATAATCAGGTTGTAACATTCTATACAAAAAAAGTTCCTCTGAGGAGCATGGGAGTGGGACATCTTTAATATGTATCCAGCATACACATTTAACCATTACACATATAAAAAGGCATTAAATTTTATACAGAAATTTATTGTGCAAGAATGATTTTCATGCTCATTTACAATGAAATAATTAGTTTTAACAAATAATCATGCCTTTGCTTAATTTCAACACTAAGCAGAATATTTACATTCAAGTTTACATGTTCGTTCAAGTTCCACATGGTATTGTCAGAATTAAGTAAGAATGCATCTTCAGATCAAAGTTTGCATTTTTTACATTAAATTATCACTGCTTTTCAGACATTTACCTGGAAACGACAAATTTCCTTTCTGTGCATTACCCTCATTTCCCAGCTACTGTACTGGAAAAACAAACAAACAAACAAACTAAAACCAAACAAACAACAAACCAACCCTAACTTGCAGAAATCAGCATCACGAACATACATCAATCTCCAATTAGCCAGGCATTTAGCCAGGCATTTCCAACTTGTTAAATGGAACGGACTCTGGAGTATACATCCATGTAACTGACTTTTGGAGGACTGTTTATGTCATCCTTGCAAGAGATCATGCCTTAAGAAAAAGAGCCTCAGGACAAGTCTTTCACAGAATCTCATATAAAAAAATGATCTGTTTTGTCAATATTGAAGTGAACAGCTTATCACAGCACCTAACACACTTTGGAACTTTTTGATCTTCCCCTCCTGCCCCCTCTAACCATAGGGATGACTAGGAACACAGCATCATGGTCTGGCAACTTTTAAAAACGAAACATGAACAAAAAAACACCCCCTAAAACATATGTTGTATACTAATTTTTAAAAAAATTAATCAACAGTTCACAAACAGTTGAAAAATATTTTTAGTGTGCAGAAATTAAAACTGCGACTTTTTGGTGCTGTTTCTTCCTCTTCACACTCTATGATCCAAGATGAGTTCAGACTTAACCTCACTCTTTGTTAGCCTGTGCACAAATCTCTTGCTCCTTTGGCAAATGTTACTAGTTCAGGCTTCTCAGTTATCTCCCACCCACCCCAACCCCTATTATATTTTTTTAAACTGAGCTGAGAATCAGCTAAGACAATATGCAAACTCAGAAACGGCTCTGAATTATAACTTCTTATGGTCCTCTTAAACAACTGAAAAACACAACGGAATTTTTGTTTACTTTCACAGTTCCACGTGACGCCTACTATTTTAATCCATACTTCCATATCAGTGCTCCACCTTTTGTCTAGGTTTCAAAGGGGCCTGTAACTGTAATTATAACAAAAGAATCAAAGCATACCTGCCAACATGCTGCCCTGACTGTCACACTAAGTTAAAGGACGAAGTATCGTGATTGTCTTGGATTTTGGCTATTCATGTTACAGGGAGATACTGATTTTGAAGATGCAAACCTAAACATTCCCACATTTTAAACAATCTTTATATTTGGCAGACTATTCCACTTTTTCTGTCTTCACGTTGTGACATCTCCTCCAGAACTTGTGGGCTGCGAAACAACCGTAGAAGGTTGCACTGGTAACATTTCTAACTCAGATTCACGTACAAAGATGACTGCATCGCCACTTACATTTATTAAACACTGGGCCTGGAAATAAAAAAAAGGCAATAGGCAGTTAACATTAAAGACTTACATATTTTATGCTTTACTTATATCTGCTAGAGGTAACTATGCAGATAATGGAAGAGTCAACAGAGATCAGAGAAGGACAAATTATTAGAATTTATTAGGGAGGCAATCCCTGCTGTATTTCCTTTCATATTTACTCACTAGCGTGCTATCAAACATGTGGACAGATTCTTCTAAGATCAGCACAAATGAAGTATCTGGGTTGCTGCACTTCCTTTCACTACTGTTTTGAACTTATTTCATGTACCAGAACAACTATATTCAGCTGTTGCCTTTACTCATAAAATTTTGTTCCTTTATGTCCAAAATGCAGCATTTTGTATCAGCAACTCCACATAAAAAGGATAAAAATCCTAAGATGGCAACATCAGAAAAGCTAAGCAAGTTCAGCACTACTATTCTGCCATTTCCTGCAACTTACTCCATTCTAGTGAACTTGGTACTTTTCTCATTTGGGTATTTATGAAGCATATTCGTAATTTCATGCGAACTCAGGTGTTCAGAGTGCTCTTGGCTTCTTTGAACAGGCATTATGATGAGAGATCCAGAAGTGTTATGCAGACATGGCTCTACAGCATTCTTGTTTTTCAAATACATACAATGTGTATTTGTGTCACACCAGTCACAACAGCATTTTTACTTGATATAATAATTTACCTGATTTTTGTTTGGATTCTCCATAAAAACACACTGCTTCATTATGTACGAGACAACGGCATTCCCCCCTAAAGCTGCAACATGAGCTCTCACCATGGCAAACACTTCAGCAATAAATGCGTGGAGAAAACCACTGACACCACCCTCCTAAAATGGGGGAAAAAAAAAAAATATATATATTTTATGTTAAGTATTGCTACAAGATGCTGAATACTTTACTTACATTTTTATCAGCTGAGTATTTCAGTGAATCCTAAATGGTATATATTGTACAGACTTAAAAGCTATTCACTATTTAATGGGTCACAGTTAAAAGTCAGACCAATGGAACTTACTGTTTGAGTAAAAGCATCACAAGTAGGTTATTCATTTGTGACTGGCATTCTCTGCAGTCAGTATGTTACACATACTCATATGTTTCAGACATTCCTACACCTCTGCAAGAACACGTAATATTCCACTAGAAGTTGAATAATGAGTTTTTATTTCATCAGAAATGACACTACCCATTTTTTTGAAAACTGGGAAGCAGATAAAGAATAATTTCTATTGAGGATTAAACGAGATTCAGACTTCTTGGAAATTAGTGGCAAGGAGCGGCTATTACCTTGGGTCACTGTGACTTTATGTACGCTAGCGACTGTCATTAGTTCTCAACATTTACTAAAGAAATGATCTCTCAAAATACAAAGTAATCAAGGGGCAGGGTTCTTTGACAAGAAAACTATTCAAGCTTTTTTCTCTCTTGCCCAAAAGAACTTCTTCTAGCCATCTCACTTCATTTTTTGACTTGATGGTGCTTGTGGGGGATTTTTACTTCTTTAGTGCCAAGGTGAATAATTTAGATTGCTGTGAAAGCAGAAGGAAAACAATGAAGTATGGGGCTTTTTTGAGACAATCTTTACGAAAAAATGTGAGCAACTACATTGAGGGGGGAAACCTAACACACAAAACCCAGCAACCAACCAAAAAAATCCACAGAAAAAAACTGAGGAAAGAAACTAATGGTTAAAAATATCTACGAAATTTCAAAATGAAAGGCAAGACCACTCGACTTCCCACATGAGTGTGTGCCATTGGAGAAAATGAAAGAGGCAGGCTAACTAAGCTGAACTTCAACAAATACAGACTGCCCTCATTGTCTACTGGAAAAACTTTAATCTACTCTGAACAGACTCATAAAGACATTAGAAAACATAGCTTGGATGGAAAATTAACAAGCAGAAGGGCAAGTATAATTTCACCAATCCAAGTGTAAAGCATGAATGAAGTCAACTGCATCCAGAAATCAAAATTTCAATACAAGTTTGTCATTCCTTGTGAAATTTTGATTTTGTCCAAGTGTTTTAACAGTCACGGCAACTGATGGGGGAGGGAACCTGTAACAATATAAACCTAATACAAAATTTGATGACAACAGATAACAAAAGATTGTAAGTATGCACTTGTAAACAGCAAAACCTAAGAGCAATGAATACATTTGACTTTAAATTATCATTAATTTTTTAAGCACTGTGTCTGGTACATACTTCAGCTTATGAAGTATATAAGTTCATAGGGCCTCAATATCCTGTAAACTACCATGAGCAAAATATAAATCAATACAAATATGAATGCCGCTAATTATTTTTCCATAGAAGCCAAACCGCATTGCTTGAGGTGTACATAAAGACCACTCTGTTTTGACTCTTCCAGCCTCAGGGCAATACTGTGCAACCAGTATTAACACTAGGCTGTGACTGGGTCTACACAGCTGAAATAGATTCAAGTTCACTGCCCTCGGTGCGGGAAACAGCGCTCTGACAGCATCACAGAAACTGTACAGCCGTCCCAACTTCACAGAGGAGTTGAACCAAACACTTGAGCAACCTACCTCTGCTGAGATCTGCTATCAGAGTTACCAAGGCTTGCTTATCAGCTATTGAATTTGTATCTGCAGAAGCTGCAGCTAGTACAGAAATGTCATGTAACCATTTCCTCGGTCATACCATATACACACATCCTTTTGAAAATGCTCTCCTTTTCACATAGATTCCTGTTAAAAGGGGTCATAATTTGCAAGAGCCAAACAAGATGTTTGTCTGATTGAAGTTTCTCTAGAGAGCTCAACTCATTTTTATGAAGGTTGATAATTTTTATAAACATCTCCTATGTAATTTTATCAATGTGTAATTAGCAAGAAACAGCATACTCTTCAGCACTGACACACCAGGCAAGAGGTAAATTCTACTTCTGTGTCTGGAAATTGTAGCAGAAGGATGTAGCTACTTCCCAAAAGGACATGAAAATGGTAAGGAACACGTCTTGGAGTTTTGCATGCTCAGAGGAGTATCTGTTGTCCAGATCCAGACTGGAAATCATCGTTTGAGTATCACTAGCTAGCCCCTCTAAGCTTGTGTGGTAATATACTCCATGGCATGCTTTTGTTCATGTTCATCACACAGAGCTATGTTACTCACAACACACAGAATGTAGTACTAAAAATCAGCGTAATAATTACACGATATAGGAAACCTTGAATTAACCAACGAATCCTAAAATCCAAATACACCATGAAAGTTCACCACTGAGCTTGTTAAATGAGAGAATGGATTATTTCTTTTTCCCCATTTAAATTAACCTCCGGTTTGGGTTCAAATGATCCCAACTATCATTGTTGGTCAAAGACTTACTTTTTCCAAATAGGTCTGTTTAACAATTCAGTAGCTTAGTGTTATATGCAAATTCAACAACAGCAGCAATGGTTCAGTAACCCCTTCCTAATATCACCAAACACAAAGCAGCTCTATATGCTCTATGACAAGAGCAATGCAATGTGACTTACTGCCCACTCAGCATCTACCCTCAAGTGACAAAAACTCTGTTCCCTCCCTGTGCTATATCTGAACTCAAACATCTTCAGAAATTTACCTTTGATTGTTATAATTGACAAAAAGTGCTAATCTCCAATACACAGCTCACCTCACGCAACGAAGTGGTTTCTCGTATAAAAAACATGTTGATTATCCCGAGATATTTGGTTATTTTTGCCCCAGGTAGAAAAGAAAGAGGTGTCATCTTAACAACTGAGACGGTAGAATTGGCGCAAGATGGAACAGAACGGGGCCGTAAGTATCCCTCAGCCAATGGACTTGTTTTATCAAGTGAAGCAGCTAAAAAAATGGGAAAAAAGAAGAGAAAGTAACTATCAAACAAGATCGATTATTGTTTCTCAAAACACAACAACTCTTCTTTATGGTTTCCAAATAGATTGGTGACAACATTCAGCTGCCTGTGATGCTCAGCCATATCATGTGAGAAAGGAAATTACCATGCAAGGCATGCAAAAGGAGACAAAAAGCT